AGTAAAACAATGGCATTTTTTTGTTTAATACATGTACAACTTTGAAAAAATGGTATATATAAAAATTAAAAATAATAATCTAAAGTTTTATATGTAAAATCCAGAGCTTCACCGTGCTAGCACGGCATTAGTATTAGATTCTAGATTCCCTGAGTTTTATTTAATAGTTGAAAATCAAGCTGCTGGCTAATAGCCAACAAATTAAATATGTGCGTCAATCATCCTAAAAAAAGGTGATCATCCCTTCACGTTCCAGGGTTGAAGCAGCGATAGATATTAAATCGATTCGACGCAGTGGCATTCCTACATTGACTTGATTCAAGAGTCAATGTGATGTCATAGCTAAACGCAAGCACTAAGCTAGGGCTTAGCCTCCCTCACACGCTGCTGATAATGAAAACAAGACCTGCACTTCTTTGAGCGCAGAGGCGTTTCGGCGGCGCTGTTGAAGCTGTAATAGGCCGGCGTGCAACAGCTCCGACGCACGACGTGGATTGTGAGATTGCCTCAACCACGCAAGCGCTGAGGCAGCCTGTGACTGGCAGCACGGCTTGAATCTCTTGGAGGCTGGAGGTAAGCCAGTCAAGGCTCAGCCTTAGGCTGGGCAATGCGAATGGAATTCCAGTCCAGTCGAACATGCAAAACTTCAAGGTGTGCAAAGCGGTTTTCGCGAACACGATGCGGCAGCAACGAATGTATTCGAGAGTAAATGGTATCAAGTGATGGATAGTAGTGTTGCATGTAGCGTCGCCACAAATGTTCTTCTCTTCTGGTTATTGTCCTGCATTTGTTGCGTTATTGCAGTGTTGCGAGTCACTCCAGTGTTACGTACAGATCCAGCTTTTTTAGCTGATGTCCCTCCTCGCGAGATGACACTACATCCAAACTGCGAGAATACTTGATTTATTAATATTTTCGAACTTGTCTATCGTTTGCTTTTAGCTAATAGGGCCTACATTATGCAGAACTGCCCTTCATATTAAACCTCCGGCTTCCAGTTAACCAATCCAATGCCGAGTAGTCCCTGCTGGTATACACCGTAGATAACCGTGATGCTACTTGCAAAGGTATGTGTGTTCGTAAAGTATACCGTTTACATGTTAGAAAATTGTATTCATCTCCCGGCATATTATGCAACCTGTACTCCAGTGGTATGGTCACAGACTGCTACTAGGGCGAGCTTCCGCCCACGAATCGCCAAAAATTAGCTTGTGAAAGCATTATACCGGGATACTTTAGGTATGGACGGTCCTCAGCGGATTAATCTCACGGGCTGCGTAACTTGTTCTATGCTATCTCGCCCAACATTCAGCTGACATCACAATGTAAGTTGAATGATGAAAGAAAGTTATCAAACTCGAAATTGCTAAAGTCTTTGTGGGCGTATCGACATCTTCACGTCGAGAAGAAGTATCGCCCTCAGTGCGGCCTATAAGGATATTTCGTGAGCTTAAGAAGAAGCGCCACTGCTCTGTCACTTCTAGGTTTGTTCACATACTTGGGACGAAATACCACCTAAATAAATAGTTTAATCAGCACGGATGTGTGTGTGTGTTTTTTATGCGGTTAACGCCGTTGGTACTCAAGGTGAGCACTGTTTCAACCCCGCTGACCGGTTATTTCCATATCCGGTGGCTACGGCGTTTTGCCCGGATGGTGGCCTACATACATCGTTATCTAGAATCCAAACAAGAATCTTGAGAAAAATATTTTTTTGGTGGAATCTACACTGTACCTTTTGAGGCCAGTGTGATCCGTATTGCAGCTCGAGCTGTTGCAGTCTACCAAGTAAACATTGACTACAAGGCTATCTCAATGCGAAGCCGACTCGCCTTGGCACCACCATACCAGCAAAATGATGGGAAGGAGCAAAATAGTTGAGATGACGACTATTTGTATCTAGAAACGATCCATATCTTTAAAATTTCTTATCCACTCGGCCAGCTGGCCTATTTCGCCTCTTGGTTTCCGGCTGATTTGGTCGGTGAACAACATAGCGAAAATGACAACCTGAACCTAGTGTCAGTAAAGAATTTATCTTTGTATTAAAAAAAGTTGTGTATTTTATACCCAATCAAATTGAATTATGAGATTTTCCAGTTGAAAGTTACCACAATCTGATTGTTTTACTATCCTTTATTTTAGCTCCTTTTTTTTGCTTACGCGTAGATACCTGATGATGCCGCGTGACTTCCTTTGATTAAAAGTTATGCAAGACTTCTTTGGGTCTGTGGCCCGTTGTTGGGATGACGCTTCAAATAAAATTGGGATTTGTTGCTGAATGTAAAAATAAAGTTCTTTCGGTGCATGGAGTGTGGCTACTTGGAGCAATTTTTTTTTTCTATTTAGTTGTTTTCACCATAGTATTCCAACCGAATTGTTGTCCTTTGATTTTCTAATTCTGGTTCTCCATCCTCACTTGTGGTAAAATGTTTGAGTTAGCCTTCGTAAAGTGAAAACGTGAAAGACGATCTAATAAATATTTGAAATATCTTTTTCACGACTTTAATTTTCTGAAAATCGATTCAGAACCGTGCAATTTCATCGTGTGGACACACCAAGTGCAACAACACATGGTGTGGTAACATCACGTACAACATTAACTTTTGAATGGTGGAGGAAGAAGGGAGCCCAAAAACTCGTTGTCTCCACAACGCCATTCCAGTTTTAGCCTCCTAGGGCATACTAGTGTATTTGTTCATGTAGTGTTTGCATATCATCGGGCGGTCCATGTGAAGATTTTCAAACAACACCATCTTTCGACCGAGGGCTCCAACCCTGTGGCGACAATTCCTCTCACCAGATCTGATGGACCCCACCTCAAAAAACCCATATTCAGAGTATCCAGCATGTAGAATACTCCATTTGGTGTAACTCATGTGTGGCGCATTATACTTAGTCACCCGCCAGATGCCGCCGCCCAGAAACACCCCACCCGTCGTCCTTTACATGGCAGTGTGGACATCACATGACAGGGTTGAGCCTCCTACATGTAATAGCCCTGCCTCCACTTCTCCCTCTGCGCGTCAATGGCCGAGAGACGCTTATCAACGCGCGATTCCTCCCGCCAGAGTGGTCGGGAGACCGAGAGTGCATTTGCCGCCTTCTTGTCGGACGGCAGTGACGACGAGGACGCGGATGACGCGGACACGCGCGCTCTGCTTCGGATGCAGCAGCAGGCAGACGATCGAACGTATGTAGACACACTGAAGATGAATGAAGAGAGTGATAGCAGCTTCAGACTCACGTGGGCCAAGCCAGGAGTGTTTGATGCTCGAGAGGACGAAGCCTTGATGGGTCCTAAGAAGTTGGTGGAGGCAGCGATGAAGAAGGATGAGGCTGATCATAATAGCGACAACGTAGTTGATGTTACGGGCGAGGTCGAAGCTGAGAAAGACGACAGCTTAGTAGATGAACGCCCTAGTTTTAGTGATGTTAACAGCTTTACTGGAGGCAGCTTTGTCGCTGAGGCTGATGTTGTTGCTAGTGATAGTGACCATCACGACAGTTTGGCGTCCAGACCGCCGAGCTTTGAAGACGACGGTGACAGTTTCTTTGATGAGCCCAGACCTAGTTTCTCGGACGAACATAGCTTTACTGGGGGTGACAGCTTTGCGGACAATAGCTTTGTATACCGTCCGAGTTTGCCAGACGACGAAGAAAGTCAGGGTGAAGTACTGAAGCGCGTTGACGCAAGTGTCAACAGCTTCGTAGATGCCAGTTTTGTGTATCGCCCAAGTCTGCCACAGGACGAAGCCAGCAGCACCGAGGCAGCGAATACTACACCTATTGTCGACAGCAGCTTCGTGTACCGTCCAACCCTCGGCAGCGAAGAGACTGATACTATCGCTCCAGTTGACAACATCGTTGAGTATCGGCCAACTTTATCAGGCGATGCGAAACAGAGCAACGTGGATGATGTTGTAGTAAATGATAGCACCACTACTGCAGACGATGGCTTTATATATCGACCGAGTTTACCGGATGACGACGTCCCGGATATTGTATTCGGCTATACTCACTCAGCGAGCACTAACCCGTCAACCGAAGAGATGAGCGGGTACAGAATAACTCTACCGGATGCAGACAAGAGCCAAGACAAGAGCCATGAAGCCACAACAAGCGGCATTAGCGATGCAAAAGTAAAGGAGGAGAGTCGTGGAATTGACGAGTTACCTGATACCAGCGAAGAAGTGGGGGGCGAGCAGCCATCGTTTTTGAGTCCGAGTGCGTCGAGCTTCATCCGATCTAGTGACGCCGTTGCATTCGATTTCGGAGGTATTGATTCCTCGTTCAGGTTGCACGAAGTGGAACCAACTACAGTTGTTACGCAGGACAACAGCTTCAGCAGTGTACTCACAGACAGCTGCGCGTCCAACGCCCCACCGAAGCTTGACACCACTCAAGTGTCCGAAGTCGATGTTGCTGCAGAGGTATCTGGGATTACTACTACAGTAGACCAAGACGAGAAGGAAGCATCTATTGACAGCGCTGGTGAAGTCTTTCCAAGCACTGATGCAGTGATCAAACCGTCTCTATCTCGAACGTCTAGTGCCGCATCTTCGACATCGCAAGGGTGTTTTACACAGCGTCGAATGACAGCTCGTGAATCGTGGAGAGTCTCGTCGCTGGACTTTCGAGAGAGCAAACATGCGTACGATGAAGAGCTCGGACCTTTAGCCAGCCAGCAATCCCCGCGTGCTTCTGCCATCAACACCGAACGACAGCGATTCAGTAGTACCTTTGAAGAGCGCGCCTCTGCTTCCTCCAATAGCTTCGCGTCGTTCCACAGTCAAGCGAACTTCTTCGTCGACGAGCAGAGCTTCTCGTCTGTCAGCTCTTTATCGCTGGATTCCAGACCTTCAGGAGACGACTCGTTCTCGAACGTTGCCATCCTCGGAGACGACGTTCGTGACCAGAACGAAAGACGCAGTAGCGACATCATATCACAGGATGTTGGCGAGAGGCTCGACCGGAGCTATAGCGACCTGGTGGCAGTCACGGCGACACTGGATCGCAGCTTCAGTCAGCTAGTGGATCGCGATGGATTCTACCGCACCAGCGCCAATGAGAGTGCGAATGGCACCATCCTGGACAGTTCAGTGGCCTCGGCTGTGTCGCAGTCCTCGACTACGAGTGACGAGCTCCCGTTCGTCTCCTTCAACGCTGTCAAGGCCGGATTGAGCAGCCCAGACCGACAGAAGTCTACTAGCGCATCACAGCAGGTTTTCTATAGGTCTATCCAGCTTTCTAAAGGCGACGTGAACGCGGTCAAGTCCTCTACAGCGTCTTTACCTCAAACCTTCTCGTCGGCAGCGCTGCTGGCTGCAATCAAGACGCGTGATACACGTACGAACACTCGGTCAGAAGAAACCGAAGCAGGGGACGTGGCTTGCGGTGCGTTGCCGCCTCTAGAGCCTCCACTCAAGCTCAACGTGATGCCACGAGGACGAGGATCCGTCTCATCTTCGCTGTTATCCAAGAGTGCGTCGCCTGTAGCGGTGTCGTCTATGACTCGCTCATCTGTGGCGTCTTCGACGGGCACTGCTGATCGTTTGGACTTTACTGGAGTGTATCGTGGATCTGCAAACAGCCTCGAGGCTTCACGCAACAATGGCAAACCGGCTGAGTTACCGACGGAGTCCAAGCCGAATCAGAAGAATGCGATTAACTTCGAGCTCTTAGGCGTCAAGTTGGAGCGTTCAACGAGCGACAGTCGAATGATGCAGCGCCAATCGCAACGAAAAGTAGAAGAGTTCTTCCGTAAAACGTACCAGAAGAGTGTGGGCGATATCGATGAGCGAGAAGTACATCGCTGGACCAATCGAAAGACTCGCGCGCATACGACGGCGATCAATACGGAGGCCAAGGTCATCGACCTCAAGAATTTGCGCAATGGTGGCAGACGCCCCGGTTGGCATCTGGAAGACGATGCAGCTCAACGAGAGGATTCGTCGAAACAGGGAGCGATGGGGATGACAACTGGGACCACAAGTACAGGGACCACAGCGACACGATCCATGCCATCCGACCACGTCCCAATACCTCCAAATTACGTCATAAGTCCACAAGCAGAGTCGCAAAAGCCTAAAGTACTGGTGAAGAAGATGACGCAGGTTCCAAGTGGAGGAGACGGTGCCAGGTTTGGAGCGCTGGGACGTCGAGCAGATAATCTCTCCCTGACTCCCACACTGCCGCGATTGTCGGCCAATGAGTCTCCTGCGTTCTCTCCGTCGCCTTTCGGCTTCGGTGCAAGTGACGGCTTTGGCATTGGGCGATCGCCCGGGAGATCTCCTGTGGCTTTTGCTGGCACGGCGACTGGGTTCCTGTGGAAAGCAGGCAGTGGGTTTAATGGCTTGAAAGGATCATCCGATGCTCCGTTCGACGCGTCACAAGTGTCATACGCGCAGCGATCTACACTAGCTGATCGTGTGCAGAGTTTATCTGCGTCATTGGCCAGTACCTTACGTCGCTTCTTGCCCAGTAGACACAACGCTGGTGCCGGACTGACGTCCCCACAGTCGCAGTGTACAGCTCCAGCAGCGCTGCCTCGAGCGTACGACCACAATGGCTTCTATGAGGCTCCGTTCAAGGTACCAGGACTCGACAAACCGATGACACAGCAGAAGAAAAAGACTGTGGAAAGTGATCGTGCGTGGGTTCGCCAGTGGCTGATTCTAGCGACGTGTGCAGTGCTCGGGTTGTCGCTGGGCGCTATCCTCGTTCGGGTCGTGAATTTTAGCGCTACTGTGTTCAATCTATCAGCTGATCAAGTGCACGAGAAGCAAGAGAGCAACGAGCTGGTGGTGTCTACTGGAGCGACGTGGTTGTTGTTACCTGGTCAATTGTTTGCCCGCGTGTGGACCGCAGTCACCACAGTACTGCTGCTGTGCTACGTGTCGACTGGTCTAGCGGATCTCGTGGCCTGTGCAGACAAAGCTGCGCTCGTGTTGAACTTCCGATCGATCGGATACGCACTAGTTCTTGCAGTTTTGGCAGCGTTAGAAGGAGTCTTGGCGATGTGGATGGCGCACAGTGCTGGATGGTTCCATGGAGACAGCACGGCTGAAGCTTCGACGCTGTCTGACGCTCTTGGAGTGACTCCGCTACCACTTGGAGCGGTGGGGTTGTTGTGTACTGATGATGATGAGTACTTGCAACGTCTTGGTCACGACGTGTTTGCGTGCTCCAATGCTTCGTTGACTCTGCCATTGTATGCAGAGGTAACTACCAACTCCAGTGACATCGCAGACAGCGGCCCAGCTGTCTTCGCGCTGCAAGAAGTTACGACGATACTGGCTACACCGACGTCTGTGCCGTACTATCCGGCATTGCTAGGCTCAAGAGGCAACGTGACGCTCTCGTTACTATCAGCGTTGACGCCTAGTAACGTAGCGTCGCAGTTTACACAAGTGGAGCTGGATGAAGTAGGTTCATTGGGTGGGTTGATCGTGCTCGGTCTGCTATTGGGCTTTGTGTGTGGGAAGAGGATACTGCGCTTGCGACGTGATGCCCAAGCTGCGATGTTCGAGTCGATGTGCAGTGCTTCAGACTCACACAAGTCTCGTCATTACATCGTTGGGATCTTGATGGAACTGCAGCTCGTGTTGGAGTGGATGGTGCGTCCTATGGAGCGATATTTGGCGCCTGTGGGGTTCTTCTCGCTCATGCTTGGGCACGTAGCGGCTCACCATCGTGAATGGCGATCGTTTACCTCTCCCATGTCGTCTCTTGTCGTTGGAGCGTTGATTTTGATCTTCCTACATGCTGGAGTGGTGCTACCATTAGTATTGAGACTATTCTCCAGCAATCGACGCTTGCCTGTAGTGAAGACAATGAGGGGATTCGTACCGGCGTTCCTGTTCGCCTTCACAACCGACAACGTTGCTCTAACAGCGCCAGTCTCGATGCAGTGCTATGCTCGGGTGAATACAGTGACTCGCTCTGCCGCGCAGTTGGCCACTGCCATGACTGCAGCTCTCACTCGGAATGTTCGTGCATTGTATCTACCGCTACTTCTGTTGTGGTTATTGGAGTCTTCTTCGTCTGAAGTAGCGAATTTGAGCACGAGGGACTATTTTTCGGTGGGATTGCTGTCGCTGTTGAGCTCTTTCTGTGGCGGGAGCTCTCGCTTGACTTTGGCCGTGGCTCGCACGTTGTGGCCGATTGCCGGGCGTGATCAATCCACCAATGATGCAAGCTTACTGCCTGCTACGATGCCTTTGCTGGTGGTGTGTGATGTGCTTCTGTCCCGAGTGGCGAACGTTGTAACTGTGATGGACCACGTTGTGCTTACGCAACTAGTAGCACAGCACTGGGACGAGACGGTTGTACACGGACCAACAAGCAGGAACGACGCCAGCAACAACTACGTCGTCAGTCCCAGCCCGCTAAACGACAGCCAAGCTCCTCGCCCGTCGTCCAGTGCAATGTTATCCTCCGTTTATTTGTAGTATCGCTAGTCAATGCTCACTTACGTTGAGTATCTAATTGTTTAGTGTGCATTGGATGATTGTGGCATAGCGTGAAGGCACCACGTCTCCAATTCGATTCAGTCATATGCACACCAGTAAGACATTATGACCCACCTCCTGACATTAACCACAGTAATTTTGTGATTGCATAGTGTATTAAAGCGGGAAGAATATAGGGATATTATTGTGGTAATGTGCACTTACTTAGGTGTTTTGTATTTTGGAGAGACTGTAACACCCTCGTCACCTTGCGATTAAGATCATCATTAGACAGGAATCATAACGAAATTGTGATTGTACAGAGCACTTCGGCAGGGGAAAATGTGCCTCCAGGAAATCAGCAGTCGTGAAGACATCACCAGTCTGGAATTTGCTCGCGAGTCCGCCATTGCTTGATATCGAGCTCTGTCGAGTTTTCATGCTATTCACGATGACTGTATACAACAGTCACACGCTATCCGGGGCATCTCTTCTTCAGAAAATCTCTACAAATACAAGTTTTAATGCTTTAGTAACCAAAGAGTTCAACACATGTACAACCCCCTCCTCCAGACTCTTCAGCACTTCAAATTCAAAGGTCGAAGACATGTGTTTACTGTCAACCTTTGAGATGTAACTTACTGAACCTGGGCATCAAATCGGGCATTAAACCTGAATGGTTGATCGCCTATCAAACCTCATGATGCTTATGGTAAGGAGCGCCATAATACTACTACTGTCCACCCTTAGGATGACACGTTTATTCCATTTCGGCCAGTTTATTGGTTCATCCGAATGAAGTTTGTCAATTGAAAGTCGCGCACTCGAGCAACCCAGTACTATTAAAGTCACAAGGATCCTGCTTGATCCATTGACCCACACCACCGACCTATTAATATATTACAGATTCGATAAGGCAGAGCCTACAATGATAACTTGGAATCTAAGTTTCTAAAAAGCTTAAGATTTGCTATCTAATAGAAGACCTCTTACAGTTTTTAGTCTGCTTGCGATATTAATTAATGAACACGTAAGATTCAATTGGATGCGTTTTGGACTACTCACGCACATGAGTATGAATCAATAGACAATGTAAAAACTCAGTAATTTTAGTGGTTTAGAAACTATATTTATGGCTATACACTCCCCTGCCCAGCAACAACTATTAAAATACAAATCTAACCTTATGATATTTACGGTAAGGCGCACCGTAATGCTATTCGTGATCCATGTATTACAGTATCTCGTATCGTAAACAGCAACAAATGGGTCTGCCACACCTCACTTTTCAATTTCCTCCCCCACACGATTACATACAAGTTTTTTTTCCCTCTCGCGCTTCTACGTTTCCAAGTATGAAGACCGAGCCAAAACCAGGGAAGCCAGTCTCCAGTATGCGAGCATTGGCTATCGTCTCGCTTTTGGCATGGATCACCTCGGTCTCCGCAGCGTTGATACCCGGTAATATCAATGCTACACCATCCACGCTCAAGATTGAGGAGGGCGACGTTTCTTCTCAGCGCTTCCTGAGAACGACTACGATCGAAGAGAGGAGGCTTGCAGTAAGCATTCCAGGGCTTGAACTGGCCATAAAAAGCGGACCCCGGACAAAGAAACTCATGAGAAGTTTCAGATAAAGTGGTGGCTACTGCGAAACAAAGAGCAGAGTAAGGTGTTCACGAGCTTAAAGCTCGATAAAGCGGATCTCAATCTGTTCGAGACTCCAGCATTCTTCAAGTGGGTTCCCTTCGTTAGTAGAAAAGTCCCGAATAACGCTGATGAGGCTATATTCAATCCTACTATAACGACGATGTCCTGGCGAAGATTTTGCTTAAGGCAAAAGAATTTGATAGGATGTCAGATCTCGCTAAAACGTTGGAGTTAGGCCAGACTAAGCAATTCCACATTGACGGAAAATCTTCAGACGACGTTTTCAAGATTTTGGAGCTGAACAAGGCGGGTGACCAACTCTTTACAAACCAGCAGCTTCCCAGGTTGCTCGACTATGTCTCTACAGCCAAAAAGAAAAATTCCAATCTGGACGAAATCGCGACATTGAGGAGCTTCTACAAGGATAAAACTCTCGCGAAAACGATTTCCGCGGCAGGAGAAGGCGATACTAAGAGTGCTCTTGTCACTAAAGTAGAGAAAGCTCTGAAGAAGGATAATCCAAGCAATTGACGATGATCCTACTGCACCATTTAGAGTTCTCGAGATACCGGACGTCAAAATTTAGTTTAGGTGAGCTTTTCCTATACGTTATGGAGGGCTCAACTTCTATGCAAGCAACTCACGCTAGCGGTAGGATGAAAGTTCGGTTATCTCCGCGTGGTCGTCGTGGGCAGCTATTGACAGGTATCAATCCTTGGCCGTAAACAGAGGACTCGAGTAGATTTTGTCCAGGTACGTCTTCAACAACTTCTTCCTATCCTGCTCCGACGTGGCCAGTTTGTTTATGACGTACGCTGGTGGCACTTTGGTTTCCACCCATTCGTCGAGCAGAGCATTCTTGATGAAAGCAGCCTTTTTCTCCGTCGCTGGAGTCATTTCTGCCTTCTTGATTAGCTCGAACAGCGCATCGTCACGAAAATTAAGCATGAGCGTTTCGATAACTGGATCCGCTTCAACGTTTGGGTTCTCTTTCTTGAAAGATATTGCGTATTTGAGCCAGGTATCGTATTCCGAATGCGTAAATAAGTTATCCACATCCTTGTTGAGTGAGAGCAAGGTGAAGGCATCATCTGGAGTCACTTCTCTGCCCAGCGTGTTCGAGATGTATGTCGAGGTTTTCTCGTTTTCCATCCATTTAGCGATCAGGGACTTTTCAAAGTTCGCGGCTCTGAGCTTCGACAATCTGTTGGTCTGCACTGCATTGATGATTTCTACCAACTTTTGGTCATCGTAGTGAGTCGTCAGTATATCGACCAGTGATTTCACTGGAACGTTGGGATTCTCGCTCTTGAAAAAGTTATCGTACGATAGCCAAGCGCTGTATTCCCGACTCCCGAAAAAGTTATCCGTTCTCATGTCGTACTTGAGTAGCTTGAAGGCCTCTTCCGGGGTTACTTGTCTACCAAACATGCTCGAAATGTATGCCGGTGTTTGTCCGTCTTTCACCCATTTACCAACTAAGGCATCCTCGAAGTACGCGGCTCGTATCTGGGTGGCTGGGTCTTTCTTAGCTATTTTGATAATTCGAACCAAAACGTCGTCTGTGTAGTGAGCTGCAAGCATATCAATGACGGATCCCGTATTAGCGTGTGGATTCGCTTTTCTGAATTCCGTGGCGTAATTCAGCCAGTTCTTAAATTGCGGATTGGCAAACAGGTTATCCGCTACGTCGTCCAATACGAAGAACTTGAATGCTTCTTTGGGAGCCAACTGTTTGTTTTTCAGACTTGCAGCCACATCATCAAGGCCGGGGACGGCTTTCACTGCAGCCAGTAGTTTATCACCTCCAAGGGCAACCCTCTCTTCGTTGTCCTCTTTGGCGATGTAGCCGGATCTCAAAGACCTGTCGGTGGAGACGCCGTGTTCAGAAGCTGCGAGATTTCTTGTTGCGGCTTGGGTATCTGAGCTTGCATTGATCCTTGCAAATAGGGCGATAATTCCCAATAACACAACACGGCACAGGCGCATAGCTCGTTCCTCCGAGTGTTTCTGAAAGCGGAAACGTTTTTGAGGTTTCAGTCTTCCGAGATGAGTGGTGGGATGTGACCACGTTAAAGCGGGAATGGCTCCTTCTTTCGGTTTGTGCGGTCCGGAACCGAACGTGGTACTATCTCACGATAGAACACAGAAGTTTCTGCTCGGATTCGGGATAACATTAAAGATTGGATACATACCATATTAGCAGGGTTTTATTAAACCAGAATTGGGAATGCCCTGGAATAATTATGCCAATCCACAAAATAAATGTGTTCTAAATCAAATTCATGCTTCAGCAGAAGCAACTCGTGCTGCCAAAGCTCCTTAATGAACCGCAGACGAAGGGGTTTATTGTTCAGCTCTTTCGCTTATTCCGTTGTACGATAGCTGAAAAATGATAAGTGTAATTATTAAAATTGTTAAAACTTCGTTGAGAATCGCTCAATACGTCTGCCCGGCTATTACAAGACTTGCCTTGGAATGAAGGTCCGTTCTGACTGTTTGAGGGTTTATTGCAGCCTTCTTTTTAAATAACCATAGGGCACTTATCTGCTGTCTAGATGTATGTCCGTTCAGTGAGCGGCGCTCACAAGTACCTTGTAGCTCCAAATACATTTATGATGCCTTGAGTGCAGCCAGTGACGATGCAGAGCTCCGGTTTTATCACGATGTACCGAATCAATTTTCGAAAATCTCGTTTTCTACCCAGCAGATCCAGGTTTGATATCGTCGATCAAATGAAAATCTCTGCGGCATACATGTACATGTACCTGGCTTTTGGGAAGGAATTACCTACTCATGTATTAAGAAGTAGTAGGTATTACACATGTATTGGTTTCTAGACAGTGCCCACCTCCTAAAAGCCCATCTTTTTATCTAATTCAGATGAGGAAATGCATAAACCAGGGTATTTAACCGACCATGAAGCTACTTCTATTTTTAAAGAATTGGGATGGTTATTTGAGTACAATAAGCATAGAACTGATTCCAAAACTGAAAACATTTGTGGATGTGCGTGTCTGATCAGAGCTTTCACTGTGGTTCCTGTCTACAGTTTCCGTCTACTGTATTAGATGCCCACAGCATTAGCTCGTGACGATCACCTAAATTTCATGACTGGTGTCTTAGACGCACTTCCATTCGCTAGAAGTACATACATGCAGCTCACCATTCCACCTTCAAGCTCATTTACCTCTAAAATCAGATACAAGCCAGATTTAGCATTCGAGTCTGTTTTCTAGATCACAACAAATGTTAAGAATAAAATAGGAGACCAGAAACCTAAGCACACAGAGATTTAAATTATAATCCGACAAGAGATCTCTCTGTAGAATACGGTACGTACCGTAATCATTGACATCATTCGTAATACATGCACTGTATTGTAGAGTGACACAGGAGGGAGTGATGCTTGGAGGATAGGAGCCAATGTTCTGCGCCATTTGTTAATTTCCGAAACACGCATCAACACTCCAAGCTGTTTACCTCCTTCCTACAGGTTGTGTACCTACTCGCCTGTCCGAGCCGACCATACCTGCCTGTGAGCTGTAAGGCTGGGAATACTACCTGCCCACGGTCATAGCAACGCTAATTTCGATAGGGAGCTGTCTGAACGCTGTCAAACAAAACTTCCACATCGCTACTCCTTGTGGGAGGAAGCGGTGAGGTTTCATTTATCGTGACGGTAATGAAGTGGGTTGATACCAGAGGACAATTCACTCAAGATTAGTAGCGGCAAAAGAACTTTAATAGCTTTGACTCGTGGCCAGCGAAGCGGTAGGAATCTGAGCTGTATGGATATACTTACCATCTCTGAGTCTCGTTTCACTCTGGTGTGGAAAATTTGGATCGATTTCCAGGCCGACTCGATTTTTGCTTTTCCATCAGCTTAAAACTGAGGGAGGTTTGTACTACCATCAGTTCTGTTACAACGAGTATGTATTTCAGTGATTTTGTAGCCTAGCATCATCAATTGCTCAGCTAATAAAACACTCCACACTTCTTTTTTTTTCGCCCACACGCAGAAGAGTTCAGGCCAAATGAACAACTCCGGCTTGGACAACACCCTCAAAATTGTTTTGAAGACCTGATGCTCGATAACGAGCGGATGACCTGTTTTCCTGTCCGTAAATCTCCATTCTTCAAGAAAATGAGCATACGATACGTTTCCCTCTCATTCGGGAGACAAAGCCCTAATACAAAATTTCAGACTAGTGGCAGAACCTCTGTTCGCTAAGTGGGAAACGGAATATTCTTTTCAAGCTGGGAGCGTAGAACGATGGCAGGAAGAATGTGCTAAGCTCAAACTAAGTATCTTAGCAGAATCACCCTCACGCCCTCCGATTAATGCCAGACAAGTAGCGAACTGAGTGTAATCGAGGCATCACCCATGTCTATCTCACGTAGTAAACAAACTCTCGCACCAGAAGACGAGTGGGAATGCAACAGCCGTGCCTGACATAGCCCCCACTTGAGTAGCCAAGCCGTTCCATTGGTACACACGTCGAGCAAAATCTGGTGAGCGCATGATATCTGTAGCAATCAAATGGTAATTAGTGGAGATCCAGACGAAAAGCGCATAAAGTATTCCGACTTACCGCCTCTCCGTTTCAGAGTGAGATAAAGCATTGTTTGTGTGTATGCACACCCGACCAGATAGAAAATATGAACAAGTAGTGCTAGATGGCATCGAGTAACATTAGAACGGTCAGACTCAATAGTTATCTAAATTATGGCAGCACAACTCACGTAATAAATATCCATGGCCAAAGTTGCTCAGCGTTGGCCTGGATGTGAGTGAAAATGACAACAACAGCAACTGAAAAGTGGTAGTGGTAGAGAGAGAGAGAGAGCATTAATGAGACAGGTAGCCGCTCTCAGTTCTAATATTCGACTCACCGCCAGTATCACCAGTACAAGAGTCATACTCCGAACGTAATATAATCGGAACCACCTTCATAGTGCAAAAGAATATCTAGGTGAGCAACCACAATTTCTACAACACTTTAACACTTTAGAAATGTTACTAAAGTACTTACGTGGTGGATGCACTTGCAAGCGGAGAAAGAATGAGCGCAGCAATACTGGCAGTAGTCTGGAATCGTGCAGTTGCCGCCTCGGCGTCGTCCGTCGGCTATAAAATAAATACCGTTAGATCTTGAAAATCAGCAACAAACATAAATAAATAAATAGCGTCGCACCGAGAATTTCTTGTACACATACGGCATGGTAGATGGTAGCCATCCGAACGAGAACGCAGCCAAAATCCATTGGCAAGCCAACAATTGCCACACCTGTCGGAGAACCTCAGCACCTGACACAGCTTCATACTGCGATGCTGTCGGCGACGGAATCGTCACTGTACTTGCACTCGCAGTCCTAGGACAGCTGCCACACGAGCTGTGAGTGAGTAGCGTGTCTTCTTCCGCTTCTCGCTCATCACTATCCAAATCACGACCCAGATCAACCGCCTCGTCCGACGTCTTCGCCTCTTGTGCCCACGGATGATACTGCAAGAACGTAAATGCCACGAGTGATACACACATGATGGTAGCTACCGGTAATGTATCAGTATCTAGAAAATGTTGCAGTAACATTGGTAACAATCCCTACTCACCACAAATCAGGTAGAACACTGACACGGAGAACCTCAGTTCACCTCCTGGATCCTGTACAATACCTAGTAGAGCTGCGAGGGAGCCACTTAGCCCCTCGCCAGTCGCTAACGCACTTGTAAAGAGTGGTGGGAAGCTAGCCACGAACGGGTAGAAGACCACACTGGACGTGGTGCTCACCATACCCCCAAAGTGAGTGAGCACCAGCATGGCTACACTGTGTCTGGCACCAAAGATTGATGCTGTCTGGCCCCACAACATGCTCATGAGCACAGCGACCACCACACCTTGTACTAGTATCCACCAGATCACAGTAGATTGACTCAACAGCTGCTGTTGAGCGTTAAACAGCATGTAGAGAAGCGGGTAGAGGTTGGCTGACTCCAGAGCCAGGATGCTATACGCGTAGATACTGTAGTGCTCTGGTAGCTCGCGCAGGAACACGCCCAGCTCCACATACGTCACTTCAATATCGTCACACGTCGCAGATTTTTAGTTCGCGCAATTTTCAATTTTATACAATAATTGAAAATTCTTACCATTCGTCAAAATCCACGATGCGAGACCGAAGCCGACGAAGGCCACGAACGTGGCTCCACGCTGCCTTTGTAGACGCAGCTGGCGAGGTCCCGACACGCTAGGGGGCTGAGCATGTTGCTGGACGTTGGTCTTGAGAGGATGATGCTCGTTGGGCGTATCATCCAAGACCATCATTCGAGTTGTAAGTTAGGGATTGCGTGTTTTCGCTAATCGGCAACACAATTGGGTTTAATTGATTTGCAGGAGTTTAACCCATTTTTTTTTAAAAAAGTGGAATGGATTGTTTTCGGATAGCAAGTCAATTAATTGTGTAGTTCTCGATCCTTTTTTTTACGCTCCGCCGATGCCTGCATCGATACACGACAGCTTGCATGAACGATTTTATTAGCTTCCATCGCTGCGGAGTGACCTCAAGACACGACAGGGCTTCAATTGCGCTTAATTCAAATCTTAATCAACAGTATACCAATTGAACGAACAAACGGCATAATTGGGTACTCGTCTATTGCTTATTCTAGTTGTATTGTGGAGCAAACGATCGGCATAAGAAGCTAAATTCGGAGATGCAATAACAAGCGATCGTTTGTGCAATATTCTGTGATCAACTCCGAAGAGGCTTGTGTGGCTTTGACCTCGCCATCCTTGTTCCAAAATAGTACTTGTATTAATCAGAAGCTGTGGATTTGATCTTCTCAAGATATTTGCTCATCAACCTCTTCTGGTCGGCTTTCGATGTTCCTAGCATGTTCACGACATAGGCCGGTGCTTTTCCGCTTGCTGCCCATTTATCCAGTAGAGCGTTTTCGTAGTACGTGGGCTTGGTCTTCGTAACCGCGGTTTTCTTTACGTTTTTGATCACTTGTGACAGTGTGATAACTGATTTGGTCGGTATGTTCGGATTCTCTCTCTTGTACATGTTTGCGTACGTGAGCCACGTACTGTACTCTTGCCGCGACAAAATGTTACCCCCTGCCTTATCGAGCGCGAGCAACGTGAAGGCATCATCTGGAGTTACACTTCTGTCCAATATTTTCGAGATGTATGCTGAGGTTTTCCCGTCTTCCACCCACTTAGAGAACAGAGCTTTCTCGAAGTACGCAGCACTGACCTTCGTGGTTGAGGTCTTCTTAGCTATTTCGATCATTCGTGACAACGCTCGGTCGCCGTAATGAGCCAGGAGTGTTTCGATAACTGGCTTCGACGCTATGTCCGGGTTCTCTCTCCTGAACACGTTGGTGTACGAGACCCAGGCATTAAATTCTCGCCTTGCAAAAATGTTATCCGTTCCCATATCAACCTTGAGCAAGGTGAAGGCGTCGTCGGGGGTTACTTGTCTGCCAAGTAAGCGCGAGATGGAAGCCGGAGTTTTCTCGTTTTTCAACCATTTCGCAACCAAAGCCCGTTCGTAGTACGTGGCCCAGCCTCTTGTGGCCGAGACCTCCTTTGCTTCTTTGATAATTCGTAACAAATTGCCGTCCCGGTAGTGAGCCGTAAGCGTATCAATAACGGGCACCGTATTTGCACGAGGGTTCGCTTTCTTGAAATCAAGCGAATAATCCAGCCATATCTTGAATTGTGGACTTGCAAACAGATTATCCGCTTCGTTGTCGAGTGCCAAGGCCTTGAAGACAGCTTGCGGGGATTTCCCACTTTTCAACCACACCTGAAGTTGTTCCTTTTGCAGACTTGTAGCCAACTTCTCCGTTGTCGGGGCATTCTTCGCTGCTATCAGTAGCTGAGACAGTGCGAAATCTGAGTAGCTCGCGTGGAGTTTCTCGAACAACGTCGTTTTCGGCCCAGGATTGAACTCTTCTGCTTATCTAATCCATATACGCAATCCAGGACTGGCTAGTAGGTCCGGCGCCCCACCTTGGAGCTTGTACATGCTGAAGAGATCATCTGTGCTGAGTTTCGCGCCCTTCCAGACCTTCATTTGCTCAGTTTGCAAGTTTGTGGCCAAATTTTTGGTGCTCTCGACATGCTTTGCCGCATCGAGGATCGTACCTAAGCGTTCATTTCCGTATTTTTTCGTCAACTTCGGGAGCATCGACGAAGGCTGACCAGGGTGTTGAGCGTTGTACTTCTCCACGTACGTGGCCCAGGCTAGGAATCTGGAATTCTGGAAAATATTGTCGTCTGCCGCGTTCAGTTTTAACATTGCATACACATTATCCGTGTTCGTATTTGTCTTCAGCAACACCGCGAGCCATTGTTTAAGCACAAAGTTGGAGACCAAATCAGCCCCGGGGATAATTTTCGTGCTAATCACCCTCTCTTCGTTGCCCACTTCGGAAATTTCGCTGACTCTTAAAAACCTGTTGGTGGAGACGCTGTGCTCAGCAGTAGCGAAGCTTGTTGCGGCTTGAGCATCTGAGTTTGCGCTGACTTTAGCAAGTAGGACGGCAGCCCCCAACAAAATAAGGCCGTACAGACGCATAGCTCGAGTCCACCACTGGTAGTAGAATACACCCCCCTTCTTCTCTACTGCGAGTTCTCAAGTTTAGTGGTGAGGAGGTGTCTCCACGTTTCAAAGACTACGAGTGATTACGCCGAATAGTGCGGTCAATGTGAATCCCATGATAGAAAAGCCGGTTTTCGGGATTAAAGTAAAGATTGGATAATGCAATACAAGGGGTTATACAGTACACATGGGAAAGAACCGAGATTGAAAGAAAATCTTTTTAATATTTAGGTAATTAGTTTCATATTTGTTTTGTGCCCCATGAGTAAAGTTGGTTCTTCAGTCGTGCTGGAAGTTGAAATGGATACCGTTTAGCGACTGCACGGAGTTCAGCCAGCAACATACGTCGATCTGTTATTGTTGGAGGAGGAGGGGGGGGGGGGGACATTGCACTGCCCTGCTTTGGCTAAGATAGGCTGAGTTATAAATTATATTATACTTATACTATGAAGTACTAAAGTTTGCATGTCACAGAATATTAGTAATTATTAGCTCGGTGATTCAAAGGATTTACGGTATACAAATTATGCTGGATCCGGCAGTGTGAATCTACCCCACGTGTGCAGACCTTCATGGACCATTAGTACTTGGCTCAGTATATGCCAAAGCTCGGTAACTCAAAGGGTGCAAAGGCCCACGAGATCCGACAATAATACAACGCGTTGTATAAGGGTCTTTATTATAATTGTTTTTCAGTTATTCTGGCCTAATTCTATACCCTTCTCAGCATTAATTAAGCTCTATGGTCAACTAATTCCATGTTAATTATGGGTTGTTCCATCTCTGCCGGTTTTAGGGCTAGGAAGGTGAGCCTGCTTTAAGACGAAAAAGCTAATCAAGCCGGAGTAAGGGATACCAAATGAAGCTCTTATTATGAATATGATAAGAAGGTTTGCTGACCTGTAAAAATAGGCGTATCTCCGAGGATTGCATCTATAAATAACACGCTGATCAGCGGTGTAGAGGAAGAGTACACAATATTATGCTTAATTAGTATTAAATGAGGCAAGACAGCCGATCTAATTCCGCCCGAAATAACACTCCACCCGCCAAAACAAGTGAAAGGAACAATACAATGGTAGTGTTTGGATGTGCTAAGCAGCTTCTCTATTAATACTGCGAGTTGGTCGAAAATACGTCCATGACCTGAATCGCTGCCAATTCCAAACTAGGATATTTAGTTCGATGTTACACTTAATAGGCTACATCCTACTTTCAGACATTTTTTATATCGAAACAATATATCTTTTTATGTTTTTCTAGAAACTATATAGAGGCCTGTAGGCTGTGATTTCTTAAATGAGCTTTGTATTAAAGTGTCGACATCATTAAAATGATGTCGACACTTTACATTAAACATAAAAAGTAATCTACTATCACGGGCTAGGACTCTGGATGTAGAGAAAGAACAAAATGCCCTTTTAAACGTTTTCAAACATTCGTAATATGCGTGCATTTTTAAACTGTGAGGATGCTGATAAAGCGCTCCAACGTACCTTTCCATGTAGAAATTGCAGTAGGAACGGAAAGTTGCGAAAGCTCTCTAATAGAGAGGTTTCGCTTCTTTCCCGTTGCTGTTCCCACCTACAAATATAAAATCTAGCAGGTACAAATCAGAGATAGGTTCAAATTCCCGTAAATTCGCCGGATCTATGGGAAGCTTGTCCATTCCCACAAACTGAAACATCTGGAATGCTCTTTGGCAATTTATTAGAGTTTACATGGAAATGGGTATGGGAAGATTTGAGAAAATGTCTATTAATATTATATGTTCTTAATAGTTGTTATTTTTATATTTATTAGAGTGCTTAATATCGACCGGTTCTGTCTAAACGCTCAAATAGTTTGTTTCTCCAAAACAGACTTTTACATAACCAAATTACAGTACCTCACAAAGTAAATCTTTTCTGCCGTCTTAACGTTAAAGCACGCGAATATTTCGTGAAACTGCTATTTTCGTGTGAAGATTTGGTGTAAAATAGCAACATTCTCATTGGTCTAAAATCAACCGGAAAGACATCGCGGGATGTGAGCATTCAATACATACTTCTCAATGTTTTTAATGAGTTGATATATTGAAACAGAAAGTTTTCTCTCAGCGCTAATCTTCCACGTGTTGGATCTGAAGCAGCGCACAATACAGACCGTTGCCTTTAAGTCGGGCGATGTGCTCTTGAACGAGCTCTGTGTCTGCTGTACGCGGGTCTTGCTCGACAATGTATTTTTTTTAGCAGTACTCCACTTTACGAATTTTGTTTTGGCCTTGGTTTATAGCCAACACAGCTCCTCAACCAATGAATTACCTGAACACAGATCTACGTCGTACTTTCCATCAGAAGGGATCGAATGTCACTTTCCAGCTTAGAAATCGTTTCTTTATGTCAATCTAAGAGGTCGGTTTGCTTATAGATGACAATTCGGATTTGAGCTTGAGCACGGTTTATCTGTGTTCGCACCTCTTGTACTCTTAGCCACCGCTTTGTTCGACTTGTTCTTGGACGACACGTTCTCCATGAAGACGAGAGGCAAATGCTTAGGCGGCTATAAATTGTCGCTCTATCATTTTAACTTAAATATAATTCTGTTTCGAAGATATGAAATCTGCTTCTTCTGTTAAGAAAAATCCAAACAGAATAAAACACGCGAAAATCGCCGAACTGCTGTTAAGCATTTATTTTGTAAGGTACGGTATCCAGGTTCGCCTCGATTTAAAATAAGCTTAGGAACGATGACTCTTTGATGAAAGTGTACGCATTGCAGTCATCGTTTTAACTAAATTTACTGGACAACTAGGATGAATTACGAAAGGCAGAACTTCTGCGAGCCCTTGACACGGCGAGGGGTAGCTGTCGCAATTGTACTCGTCACTGGGAGCTGTTGTTGGTGACACGACGTCTTCCCTTGGAGACGGCACAACTCTAGCTGTAGGGACGGTGAGCCTCGATGTTCTTCCATCATTTTGTGTCTGAGGGGAGAGATCACCAATTCTTTCGTCACCTGTAGAGTTGTTGATGGTTTCAATAATGACCCAATAGGTCCTCGATCTGGCAAAAGCTGTGACTTGACATGGGATCAATCACTTGGAGACGCTGCAACAGCCCAAGATCTAGTGGCTAGCGATGCCATCGGTACTTCACATCGAGCGGTCACTTTCTCGCGCATTCGAGCGACCTTCAAAAGCTTCATCCATCGACTGTGCACCTCCCGGTAGTATACTTGCTGTTAGATACACATTTGTAGGGTGGTCCTTAGACTGAAAACTCGAGACCCGGGAGTTGACTCATAAATATTGATAAATCATAGAGACCGCAGGTGGCTTCGTAATCTTTTTGGACTGAGAGGTCCTTGAATGAATTTCTTGTTGAGCTTAGGTACCACGACACTGGGAGACGCAAACGCACTCATGGACTGCAGTACATACTTCTGAGCACGCACATGCATCGGCTAGATATGTCATATCTGCTGCATGTTGCTTCCGACCACACTGAATGGCCCCCTTCATAACGAGTTTTCCACAAGCACAGAGAATCGGTTGAGGCTCTGTTTGTTTAGTGCACCCGGTTAAATGCTGCTCCATTTTCATTGCAGGATGCTCAGTTGAACACTGCGGACTCATGACTAGACGGAAACTGCAGTCACGTTCATGACTCTCTCGCAGCATCTCGACCACGCGAGCAGTACAACCCGGTAGTCTACATTCCACCAGAACGGACAGTGATGGTGCTCTCTGTACAGTTTCGTCGCTGGTAGCTTCTCTTCGACTGCATTCGTTGGTCCGATGCGTCTCCATCGAGCCTCTCCTGACCATCTTGCCACACACACAGAGCGTCAGTTGAGACTGTCGTCGTTGCGTGCATTCACGAGACAAATGCGTATCCATCTCCCCGGCGAGGTTTTCGACGCCACAGCGCCGACACGGTACAAGTCGAAACAAACAGTCGTGTTTCTCGTGGTCATCACGGCGAGACGCACGCATACTCGCTGCACAACCAGGTAGTCTACACGGAACGACCGGGTCCCGGTCCGCAGGAACGACACCAGGTGACAGCACACCGTCGTTTGCATCTACGGCAGTGCGATGCAGCTCCAGTGACGCAGTCGGCACCATCTTGCCGCAGTCACACAAGATCAGTCGGCAGTGGCTGCGCTCGTGTGCGTCACGTCCTCGAGCCTGCATGGATCTCCCGCATCCAACACGGCACCTTACGATTTCAGACGAGGGGTGTGCAGCTTCATGCTCAGTCCATTACGCATCCAACACCTTCATGCCACACGCGCACTCTCGTGTAGGATCCACCGGCACCGCCGACGCACACTCAGTCAGCGGTGGCTCAGCTATGACTGCCCCACTCGACCGCAGCATCACAACGGGTGGGCCTTTCTGGACTGCAAGCTTGGGCGGTCCGTGCGAAGGTTCATTGAAGACGCTGTCGCGCACGCTGAGCCGGGTGAGGTCTGTGAACGATAGGCATAAGACCCATACAGAAGAAGACCTTGTGCGGATCCGAGATGAGATACCTAAGCACCAAACCGAAGAGCAGAGACGTCACCCGAAGCCGAACTTGAGAACGAAATAGAGACGCCAAGCACTCTAGGCAGCACAGAGTATGATAAACTAGAGGCGCTATAACGACGTGAACGGCGAGTCCTACATCCACCATCGCTGCTCCATCGCTGTGCCATAGATTAAAAATGCGATGAATGATTGACATACTGAAACGAGATCAAATGTATCGAAATGATCGCTGGCCATTCATTCGCCCAAAATCCTCCCGCTCGCAACACTAAAGATGATGTTGTGCAGTCTAAGTGGCCAGGTGCCTGTGGAGCCCGTGGTGTCGCTCAAGTCGGGCCACGTGTTCGAGAAGCGTCTGCTGCTCAAGTACTTGGAGCAGAACCAGCAGCGCTGTCCCGTTACGGGCGAAGAATTGGACGCCGAGCAGGATCTGCTAGCGCTGAAGGCGGCCCCGTCAACCAAGTCTTCGGCCACGTCGGCCAAGGCGGCGGCCTTCGCGCCCGAGGCGGCCAGCATCCCGCAGCTATTGGCCACGTTCCAGAACGAGTGGGACGCCGTTATTCTCGAGACTTTCACGCTCAAGCAGCATCTGGAACAGACGCGTCAGGAACTGAGCCACGCGCTGTACCAGCACGACGCCGCTTGCCGCGTTATTGCGCGCCTGAACGCAGAGAATGCCACACTTAAGGAGCGCGTCACACAGCTGGCATCGGGTGAACAGGACGACGTGGACATGCAGGACGGCGCGCAGACCGGCGCCGCGCTTGCTCCCGAGGTGCTGGCCACCGTTGAGGCGAAGCAGAAGGAGCTGGCCAAGAAGCGCAAGGCCTTTAAAAAGAAGGACGGGCCGCAGCGGGCCGCGCTGCTCAGTGGCCTGGCCGACTGGAAAATGGCCTCAAGCCACACGCTGCACGACTCGGACAAGCCCGGCGTCACGTGCGTGGCCATCGACAGCAAGCGGCCGACGCTGGTGGCCACGGGCGGAGTGGACAAACACGCCAAGATCTTCGACACGGACAAACAGCAGCTCGTGGCCACACTGACGGGCCACAGCAAGAAGCTCAGCCATGTGGAGTTCCACCCAACGGCCGACATGGTACTCACGGCGTCGCACGACAAGACAGTGAAGCTGTGGACCCCGCAGGAACAGGGATACGGCGTCGGCTATACGCTCGACGGCTTCGATGACGCGGTGGCCAGCTCTTCCATCCACCCAACGGGCAACTACGTCTTGTCCGGCTCACTTGACGCGACGTGGGCCATCCACGACGTGCGTCGCGGCCACCTGCTCTCACGCTACACGCTCAACGGCGAGCTGGCCATGCCCGACGCATCGGCCGGCAAGCCCAAAAAGGCGGCGAACGAGGCGCGTTGCGCTCGATTCCATCCGGACGGCGGCATCTTCGGCACGGCTGCTAAGAGCAAATTGGTGCAGATGTGGGCGGTGAACTCTCTCTCCAACGTCGTGACGTTCGAGGGCCACGCTGCGCCTGTGACGGCGCTGGGCTTTTCGGAGAACGGCTACCATCTAGCGTCGGGAAGCGAAGACGGCGTGGTGAAGCTCTGGGATCTGCGCAAGGCCACGAGCTTCTTCGAGTTGGACCTGAAGAAGGAGCAGCCCAAGCTCAAGCTGGGAGCCATCCACTCCATCAACTTCGACGCCAGCGGCTCTCATCTCGCTGTTGCGAGCGTACAGAGTGTTCAGGTGCTGAAGGAGGTGAGCAAGAACCACTGGGAAGTGGTCAAGACGCTGAGCGACCACAAGGCTGCCGTCACAGGCGTCCAGTTCGCGCCGGACTCGAGCTTCCTGGCCTCCACGTCCATGGACCGCTCGCTCAAGATTTACAGATAAGCGAGCCAGACCACCAACCTAAGGTCTTCGAACTCAGTTAGCTGCATCACTGCACCAAGGCACGACAGCATGAGGCTGCCGGGCCACACAACCAGGTGAGATGCTGCTCTGTTCCTTAAAGCTGTTGTGGTTTCAGCTAACTGAGGTTCCTTTCATAGCATTCAGACGGATAAACCTGCTTGGCAGATACCGAAGAAATAATACAAACTGTTGGCTGTTGGCTGGTCAAGATCTCAAAAGGTATAACTCAGTGAATAAAGATTTGCATGCTATTAGAATCAACGGATCAACGGAAGATCGAGCCATTGGAAGACGACGAGGACGATGGTCGCAGAGCTCGCGGCAGATACCCTTGCAACACGTCGGCGTGCTCGCGCAGAAGTCGCTGTTTGGCAGCCTCCACCACCTGGCGTCGGTAGTTCTCGTCCTGTTCCTGGCGCTCCCGCTCACGACGTTCGCGCTGCAGCTCGGCGTATACCATCTCCTGCTTGAGTGCGCGGTGTCGTGCGATCTCCTCCACGAACTGCTCGCGCTGCTTCCGGCGGAAAGCGGCCAGCTCCATCTCGCGGCGTTCCTCGGACCGGAACCGCTCCCTGAGCATCTCGTTGAAGGCATCTTCGTCAGCGCGTTGGCGGGCCAGCAGCTCCTGTTTGAGCTGCATCTGCATCTCGTTGCTGCGCATCATGTCCTCCTTGGCCTGCTGCTTGGCGGCGATCCTCTCCTCCTCCTGCGCGCGCTTCTTCTGCAGCAGTTCCTCCTCCCACAGCTCGTCGCGCAGACGTTCGATCTCTTCTTCCTCGCGCATTTTGGCCTGGATCTCGGCCTCGACGGCACGGAACATGGCGTCCTCGTGCGCCTTCTTGACATCCGAGGCGGCCTTGATGTCCGCCTCGCGCGCCTGCACCCGTCGCTGGTACTCTGCGATGGCCTCGTCCTCCCGTCGAATAGCATCAAGCTGTTCCTGCCTCGCTCTGTCGCGCTCTCGATGCGTTTGCTCGATCATCTCGCGGGTCTGTTCGCGAGCTTTTTCTCTGCGCGCCAGCTCCGCGGCATCTTCCTCTTCCACCTGTTGCATCAGCTTCTCAATCTTGAGCCGTTCGAAGTCCGCTTCAAGCTGCGCTTCACGACGGAGCTCTTGTCGCTGCAGCATTTGAGACTGCAGCACCTGTTTGCCCTGTTCGGCCTCGACACGTTTCCTCAGCTCCTGGTTCTGCATGTCCACGAGCGCGCGTTGACGGTCGTATTCCATTTGCTGATCGATCGCAGCTTCACGTTGACGATCCTGAGTGGCCAACGTTTCACGCTCGAGCTGTTGCGTGGCCCGCTCCTTGTTCATGTAGGCCGTCCGGAGGAACGACTCGAGTTGGCGCAGTTCCTCGCTGGCTTCACAGATCCGCTGCACGTCTCGCTCCTTCTGTTCCTGGGCTTTTTTGCTGGTTTCGAGTGCATTGGCCAGCGCCTCGTTCTGCTGACGCTCCCGTGCGGAGCGTTGCCGCTCGCTGATCTTCCGAGCGTGAGACTCTTCCAACATTCGTTCGGCCGACAACTGAGCCGCGTGATTCATGCGGCGACGGGATGCCACATTGGCGTCCGACTGGTTCTGAAGCGTTTGCAACTGGTTGCCCTGTGCGAATTTGTGCAGTGCGTTGTGCTCCACCTCCTGCCGTCGACGTTCGAGTTGGATCTTGTCGACATGACGTGCTGTCACGCGCGTGTTCACCGGGTACGGGAACGCCATGATACCAGGGAATGGGAGAAGGCGCGGAGTTTCAGAGCTGTATAGTAGTGGCGCACGGCGACTTTCAAGAACGACACGCGGGAGTTACGACAACTTGTGTATTTCCATCACTACAGAATCCTACAGACACTATCCTCGAAAACCACTGGTGTACTTGGACGGCTCACTGACGGAGCTGGACGTGGACCTGCTCCGCTGCGTACTGGTTCGGCTGGGTTTCCGTGGATTACGGATGGACGCGCTGTGCTGGTAGTAGATAATGGTGGCTTCCGTGCGGTCCTTGTCCTTCATGATCTCTTCCTCCTTGTTGTCGGCGAAGAAGCTCAGCGTGTACCCTACGAGCGTCAGCATGCAACCGAGCTGCGCCAGTGCACGCACCTGGTGCACTGCGATATCTTTCTCTACCAAGCACAGTATTAGCGCGTCATCTGAGTCTCCCAGACGGAAAGAACCAACCGGTTCAAGCTTACCATAATCCCAGAGCTTGGTGTACACATCGTCGAGCCGCATGGTCGAGCTGCAGTAATTCTCCCCGAGCTTCAGAGCAACACACTGTAACTCTAGTCAGTTCACATTCCAGCAGCTCTATTGAGTGCACGTCTACCTCTTTTATAGTGAGATGCGGAGCCTTGACACCATTGTACAGCACAGGCAGATACACCAGCACGCACATGGAGTAGAGAGCCACACACGACAGCTCGATGAGGAAACCACGCTTGACAGCTTGCAGCTCGCCCAGTTTGATCCGAGAGACGCTGCGCGGGCCATACCGGTCTGTGATGAATACGCCGGCGTCCATCTCAGCGCGCTTCACTAGGAAGATCCGATAGTTCAAGTATGTCTACCAAAACAGGTCAGCTAGATGGCCACAAAGAAGCAGACACTGCTGCGTACATTAGTAAACATGGCCACTGTCTCGCAGAGGAGAAACCCGAAGGCAGAGTTATAGTGCAGTGCCGGCGAGGCGTTAAAGGAAGCGAACACGGGGAGCCCGAAGGCGCCCACGACGCCGAAGATGCAGCTCACGAACGACAGCGAGTTCAGGCCGCGCGAGATCTGGCCGTTCTCCAGGCTCTGCTGCAGGTATCGCTGCTTGTACTCGTGATTGAAGCTCCACGTGAGTCCAAGCAGCACGGCCACGATGTTGAGGCCCAAGAAGAGTACGTACGAGCCGGGCGGATCTGTGTCAACGCTAACGTGAGGTGAAGAGTATCAAGCCATCGGCTGGTCGAACTCACCACGCCCCAAGTCCGAGAGGAACGGCCAGGCCAACCCGCCTACGTACACGCGGTTGGCTCGCGCGATAGAAAACGCGATGGCCACCGTCATTAACGCCGTGAAGGCCATGGCCAGCGCCGCGACGGCGCGTAAGCGACTCATATGAAGATCCGGTTAATGACCTTTCAAGATCCGATCCCCATGCATACAAAAATCAAGTCACAAGTTGAAGTGGAACAGATGCCCCACGCGTAACAATCATGTTGTGTATACGGCATAAAAACTCTACTCCTCCTTAGCACTGCACGTTGCTCGGTCCGCCCTGGCACTTGCCAATGTTCGTAGCGTTAACCGCGACGTTCTTGAACTCCCAGTTGGACACCACGGCCGGGTTGGCTACAATATCGTACAGGTTCGTGGCCGAGCCGAAAAGGCCGTCGATCTTGATGTTGGTGATGTTGACCAGACTGGAGGGGATGCCGGAGTACCCGCCCTTGGTTTTGTTGTAGTCCGAGTGCATGACAATAGCGTGCTTGACGTTGACAAGCCTGTTGTTGGTGTAGGTGACGTTGGTCACCAGTCCCTTGAGGCCAATGATGGTCTTGATACGGATGCCGTTTGTGCTGTTCACGATCGTGTTGTCCTTGACCAGCAGACCAGAGACGGTCGTATTGACGTTCTGCTCTGGGCCACCGAGCGAGCCGATGGAAATACCGTGCGAGCCGCTGCAGTAGTTGTTGCTAAAGACCGTGTTCGAGCTGGACTGCATGGCCAGGCAGTCGTCCTGGTTGTACACTCGGTTGTTAGTGATGGTCACGTGGTTGTTTCTGCTCAGGTCGAAGCCGTCCGTGTTCTTGGCGCTGCCGTTGCCTGCACGAGAGTCGATCGTGAGCTCAGAGATCGTCGTGTAGTTTGAACTGAGGATGCTGAAGGTGCGGAACGGCATGTTCTTAATGGTGAAGCCCGACAGCTTCGAGTTGGCAACTCTGCTGAGGCGGAAGAACACCGGACGAGTGATGTTCTGACCCTGCGGCCAGTACCACGCGCCCTGGCCATCGAGCGTGCCAGGCCCGGTCACAGTGAGGTCATTTCCCGTGAGCTTAATAAGCGGACCTGCCCACAGCTACGCGATAAGAGTTAGACGCTATATTAGAGATAAATTGTGTGTTCTTACCTTCGGCCCGAAGGTCGACGTTCCCTGGAACTTGATGTTGGCACCGTCCGTGACATTGGTAAGGTCAAGCATTACACCAGCAGGCACCGACAACGAGTCGATGACAATGGTGCTGCATTGCGAGACATCGGTGCCCTCTGTGTAGTTGCCGGTTAGCGTGCAGGTGTCGTCCTGGTCCACCTGGTACGGAGAATCTTGACCAACCTGACTTGCAGGAGAAACCTGCCCCACCTCGTAGTCCTGGTTTTCTTGAGACTGTTGGACGACTTCACTTTGATCCACGTCGTCTCCGTTGACCATAGCAGCCACGAGGGCGAGAATGGCGAGAGTGGACTTGAAGAGCTTCATTGTTGGTGTGAAGACGCTTGCAATGGAAATGGGCTCTTGCTTACCACGAGGTAATTTGAAGAATGAGCTGAGCCCGCGTTGGTATCACGGGGCCTATCCTGATTATTTTCTCGGTGATAGAATGAATTAAAACGAGTATTAAAGTACTAGTAGGTAACTCACAAGGTTTATGGTCAATATTACCGTCACGCCACTTGCCTGTTTTCCACATGGGATACAGCAAATCGGACAAAATTCGTGGCCTAAATACTCAGCTTGTTAACGGGACGGCGACGAGGTTGCTTTTTGAAGGTCGGACCGTCTAAACCAGTCGTCCTGGTCGTGAACATGATGATTGTCCCGTCGTCGCGACGTTCGTGAGGTGGGGACAATAGCAATGTCAGTAGAGTCTTTGAGACCCTTCAACGTACGACACCATACGAATCTCGGGCACCAAAACAAACAGCGGATGCCCCGGCTCCAGTGGAACCGTCACCGTCCGTCGTATGTAGATAGGTTCATTTACTAGGCACAATGTTCTTGCGCTCCACGTTGCTTCACGGATGTACTAGGAAAATATGAATCATCCTTTAGGAGCCAAGAGATTGACAATTCTTTTTCATTTCTTATTGCCACCAGTTCGTTGTGTTCCGTTGGCCAATGCGAAAATTCTTTAGCCCCTCTTTGGCCCGGAATTTGGACACCCATGGCATGATTGTTTACGGCAAAAACCCATGGATACATGCTCGAAAGGGGTTCGTTGCATTAGCACTGTACGTTGCTCGGTCCGCCATTGCATTGACCGACGTTCGTGGCGTTCACGGCGATGTTATTGAATTCCCAGTTGGACACCACGTCCGGGTTCACCACAACGTCGTAGAGGTTCGTTGCGGATCCAGACAGCCCGTCGATCTTGATGTTCGTGATGTTAACAAGGCTAGTGGGAATCCCAGAGTACCCGCCCTTGGTTTTGTTGTAGTCTGAATGCATGACAATTGCATTCTTGACGTTGACCAGCTTGTTGTCAATGTACGAAGCGTCCGTAACCAACCCCTGAAGTCCGATGATAGTCTTGATTCGGATACCGTTATCACTATTCACGATCGTGTTGCCCTTGACCAGAAGACCTGCTACTGTGGTTGACGAGTCCTGCTTGTCACCACCCAAAGAGCCGATCGAAATACCGTGACCACCGCTACAGTAGTTGTTACTGAAGACCGTGTTCGTACTGGACTGCATGGCAAGACAGTCATCCTGGTTGTAGATCCGGTTGCCAGTGATGGTGAAGTGGTCATTCTTGCTGAGATCAAAGCCGTCCGTGTTCTTCGCGATGCCGTTACCCGCGGTGGAGTTCAGCGTGAGTCCAGTGATGGTCGTGTAGTTCGAGTTGCCAATACTGAAGGTGCGGTAGGGAACGTTGATTAAGTTGAATCCCGAGAGCGTCGAGTTGATGACGCGATTCATTTTGAAGAAGACGGGCTTAGTGACGTTTTGTCCGTGCGGCCAATACCAGGATCCCTGGCCATCCAGAGTGCCGGGACCGGTGACTGAGAGGTCGGTTCCCTTTAGCTTCAAAAGCGGGCCATCCCAAAGCTGCAATAGCAATGATAAAAAGTGGATTAGAGACGAACAACTGTTCAATGGACGGCACAGACGTACCTTTTGGCCGAATGTCGTGGTGCCCTGGAAATGAATGTGAGCACCACTCGTCAAGTTGGACAGGTCGAGCGTCACACCAGCGGGCACGGAAAGCGAGTCAATGATAACAGTGTTGCAATGCGAGACGTTGGTACCCTGCACGTAGCTACCAGACAGCGTACAGCCGTTATCTTGCTGCACCGGGTCCACCTGACTCGGGGAATCATCGCTCACTTGGCTCGCCGGAGACACCTGGCCCACCTCGCTCGCCTCAGATTGCTGGGTGTAGTCGTTTTGGTAAACGTCGAACCCGTTTACTGCAGCAACGAGGAGGGCGACAACGGCGAAAGAGTGCGCGAAGATCTTCATATTTGACGGAGACGAGTGCTGATTTCTTCAAGAGGAAGCAAATTGATGAATGAGACGGGTAAGACTCTGAGAACGGACACGGATACCGAGAGGCAAGCTGTGGTTCCCCATGGATCCTAAGCAGACACCCTTGTGCTGCGGTGGTCGAGTAGGATGAACCTTCGGGCGCTCGACACCAACGCCATTTGCCTGCTTTCCACATGGCGGACAGCAAATCGCTCCAAATTGGTGGGCCGAAGGCACCCCGAAGGATGAACAGGAGTGCTATTGTGACTGATGATTGAACCTCGGATCGTCTCAAACTCAATTGTCGTCGCATTGCTCCACGCGAACAGTACATGCTCACGGACGAACCGCGTGATGGCGATGACAATTATCATAGCTTTCTTTTTTTTAAATACATTTTGGCCGTGATCGGTGGTTGTTAAAGGCAATAATTTAGCAGCAACAGAAGACTTCTATAATACTTGCCTCCAGCTCTCACACAAGGCTCCGGCTTGTGAGCACAATCGCGTAATGGTGGTGGCTCCTTCAGTTACCACCTTCGAAAAACTAGGATTCAAATAGCACCTACAAATGGATGCATGACAAAAACAAGAAGAGTGTGCGTTTGAAGGCTACATGACCTACCTTGTCTTTGTTACTGTATTTGCGGTCAATACTGTACCCTCCATTACAGTAGTAAAGAAAACAACCAATTCTTTTTGGAGCTGAAATATTATTTGGATACAACCCAGGACAATAGACAAAGCATCCTCGGACAAAGCATGCACATGTACATCAAATTTATCTTGGTTGACATGAAAATGGTCCATATCACATGGATCTAACACACAAGTAACACCACTGGCACAGTACAGTAGTTTGCAGCGTCCTTTAGCATGTGATGGAGCTCGGTTGGCCGCTGCACGAGCCCTTCGACGACGCACTCACCGTGACGCCCGAGAACGTCCAGTCCGACACCACATTCGCGTTGGCCACGACGTCGTACAGGTTGGTGGCCGTACCCGACAGACCCGAGATTGTCACGCCCTGGATGGCCACCTCGCTAGTGGCCGAACCTGTGTAGCCTCCCTTGGACTTGCTGTAGTCTGAGTGGATCACGATGGCGTTCTTGACGTTCGACAGTTTGTTGTTAGTGTACTTGACGTTGGAGACGAGACCCTTGAGACCGATGATCGTCTTGATGCGGATACCATTAACGCTGTTGATGATACTGTTGCCAGTCACCGTGAGACCCGAGACAGTGTCAGATGACGTGACGGAGTCTCCGCCCAGCGAGCCGATCGAAATGCCGTGGCCGCCGCTGCAGTAGTTGTTACTGAAGACGGTGTTGGTGCTGGACTGCATGGCGAGACAGTCGTCCTGGTTGTAGATCTTGTTGCCGGTGATGGTGACGCCGTCGTTTCGGCTGAGGTCGAAGCCGTCCGTGTTCTTAGCGGTCCCGTCACCAGCGCTGGAGTCGAGCATGAGTCCACTGATGGTGGTTTTCTCGGAGTTGAGGATACTGAAGGTGCGGAAGGGAGAATTCTTGAGCGTGAAACCCGAGAGCGTGGAACCCGTGACGGCGTGAAGACGGAAGAAGACGGGGCGACTGATGGACGTGCCCTGCTTCCAGTACCAGGCACCCTGGCCGTCGAGTGTGCCGGACCCCTTGACAGTAAGATCACTTCCGCTTAGAAGCACGAGCGGGCCTTCCCACGTCTTCGTCCCGAAGGTGGTGGTACCGGTAAACTCGATGGTGGCTCCGCTCTTCGTCTTGGTCAAGTCAAGCGTGACTCCGGCCGGAACGGTGAGCGAATCGATGATGACGGCGGCACAAGACGAGATGTCGGTGCCGGACTTGTAGGTGCCGGTGAGGGTGCAGCCGCTGCTGGCAGTGACGGTGCCGGTCGGTGACCCGGCGCCACCAGCACTGCTGGCATAGCTGCTTTGCTGTTGCTGTTGGGTGCTGCTGCCACTACTTGTGGTGCTGGTTTGCGTTTGCTGCTGAGCATTGTTGCTACCACTATTCGTGCTTTGTTGCTGTTGCTGTTGCTGTTGCTGTTGCTGTTGCTGTTGCTGTTGCTGTTGTTGCTGCTGCTGTTGATTGTTACTACCACTACTGGTGGCGCTGTTTTGCACTTGGTGATGCTTGTGGTGCTTGCTTTCCGCTTCCTGGCGCAGCATCGTCGAACCGTCAGTGGTGGCAGCGAGTAGCGCGAATGCGGCAAATGCAGCGGAGAGAAGCTTCATGGCGACGAGTGGATGCAGCGGTGGCTGTGTTGGTGTTGCTCCGTTGGAGACAAATTGGTAAGTGAGTCTCGGTGAGAGTCTCGCCGCGGGACCATCGTAGTCTAGTGGATCTGTCGGTGCCTGACTTAGCCACGGATATTTGTAAATTTGAGACGGGCTCTCATTGGTACAGCATGCTGTTCGAACGTCGTCTGGATCATCACATGTTGCTGGTCTTCTTTAGCGGCGCCTGAACCAGATGGACGGTTATCAGCGACTCGCTAGTGGTGGACACAATCAAACGTATCCTTTCTTGTGTGCGTGAACCCAACGACGATGTGATCACAGCGCCACAAACGAGCACATCGAAGCAGTTCGATGAAGGTAACAAGGAGATGTACGATCTACGATACCCGAACGGCTCGAGCTATTAAATATATTAATGTGTATCCTCACATTGTGGTAGTCGTAACTGCGTCACCAAGTCAAGAGCATGGAGACTGCAATACGCTATCGGTCACTTTCGGTGGTTTCTTAAAAGCAGGCAGATGTTCGAGCGTTGTCGCGGATACGCGATTGCAATATGGCGGCTTGACTTGGCCACACGAATTTGTTGAGGAGACTAACACACACTGTGACTGGGGCACTCCATGCTGCGCCCGGCACACGGTCTTCAAGGAACTATGGGACGCACGCATTTCGGCAACGGTTGGCACGGGAAATGCTTTCCAGAACGCATGGCTTTGGTGACTATAGCTGGTCGTTGTCTGGCCGTGTTGTTCGCTAGTAGCCGATGCACGCTGTCAAATCGTCGCGATCATGACCCACCAGAAGGTGGACACTTAGATCTCCCGCGACGAGATTCCAGCGAGTTGGTACGCCAACTTAAATATAGATGACAAGTTTTGGTAAAGCACAGTGATCGTCAAGTGGACGGTCAACCACATCGACATACCACCTGTCGTTTCTGGTAAACATGTGTTAACAAAGTTGAAGTTGAAATAACTTTTGCATATTCAAAAGGAAAAAAAAACGAGCAGAAGACACAAAAACAAAACTGGAGGGGGCCCTCGAGGACGAAACACCTAAAGAAAACAGGAAAGAGCTTAAAAAACGCGAAAAAACTTGCAAGCAAATTCACCACAGATGGACAAAATCGTAAAGACGAAATCAAACCACACCGAAATAAACCACACACAAAAGTGTAGGAAGCAACAAAGCCCACAAAATAACTGACAACCCCAACATCAAAAACGCAAAAAAAAGTCAACTTTGTTAACACATGTTTACCAGAAACGACAGGTGGTATGTCGATGTGGTTGACCGTCCACTTGACGATCACTGTGCTTTACCAAAACTTGTCATCTATATTTAAGTTGGCGTACCAACTCGCTGGAATCTCGTCGCGGGAGATCTAAGTGTCCACCTTCTGGTGGGTCATGATCGCGACGATTTGACAGCGTGCATCTGCTACTAGCGAACAACACGGCCAGACAACGACCAGCTATAGTCACCAAAGCCATGCGTTCTGGAAAGCATTTCCCGAGCCAACCGTTGCCGTAATGCGTGCGTCCCATAGTTCCTTGAAGACCGTGTGCCGGGCGCAGCATGGAGTGCCCCAGTCACAGTGTGTGTTAGTCTCCTCAACAAATTCGTGTGGCCAAGTCAAGCCGCCATATTGCAATCGCGTATCCGCGACAACGCTCGAACATCTGCCTGCTTTTAAGAAACCACCGAAAGTGACCGATAGCGTATTGCAGTCTCCATGCTCTTGACTTGGTGACGCAGTTACGACTACCACAATGTGAGGATACACATTAATATATTTAATAGCTCGAGCCGTTCGGGTATCGTAGATCGTACATCTCCTTGTTACCTTCATCGAACTGCTTCGATGTGCTCGTTTGTGGCGCTGTGATCACATCGTCGTTGGGTTCACGCACACAAGAAAGGATACGTTTGATTGTGTCCACCACTAGCGAGTCGCTGATAACCGTCCATCTGGTTCAGGCGCCGCTAAAGAAGACCAGCAACATGTGATGATCCAGACGACGTTCGAACAGCATGCTGTACCAATGAGAGCCCGTCTCAAATTTACAAATATCCGTGGCTAAGTCAGGCACCGACAGATCCACTAGACTACGATGGTCCCGCGGCGAGACTCTCACCGAGACTCACTTACCAATTTGTCTCCAACGGAGCAACACCAACACAGCCACCGCTGCATCCACTCGTCGCCATGAAGCTTCTCTCCGCTGCATTTGCCGCATTCGCGCTACTCGCTGCCACCACTGACGGTTCGACGATGCTGCGCCAGGAAGCGGAAAACAAGCACCACAAGCATCACCAAGTGCAAAACAGCGCCACCAGTAGTGGTAGTAACAATCAACAGCAGCAGCAACAACAGCAACAGCAACAGCAACAAAGCACGAATAGTGGTAGCAACAATGCTCAGCAGCAAACGCAAACCAGCACCACAAGTAGTGGCAGCAGCACCCAACAGCAACAGCAAAGCAGCTATGCCAGCAGTGCTGGTGGCGCCGGGTCACCGACCGGCACCGTCACTGCCAGCAGCGGCTGCACCCTCACCGGCACCTACAAGTCCGGCACCGACATCTCGTCTTGTGCCGCCGTCATCATCGATTCGCTCACCGTTCCGGCCGGAGTCACGCTTGACTTGACCAAGACGAAGAGCGGAGCCACCATCGAGTTTACCGGTACCACCACCTTCGGGACGAAGACGTGGGAAGGCCCGCTCGTGCTTCTAAGCGGAAGTGATCTTACTGTCAAGGGGTCCGGCACACTCGACGGCCAGGGTGCCTGGTACTGGAAGCAGGGCACGTCCATCAGTCGCCCCGTCTTCTTCCGTCTTCACGCCGTCACGGGTTCCACGCTCTCGGGTTTCACGCTCAAGAATTCTCCCTTCCGCACCTTCAGTATCCTCAACTCCGAGAAAACCACCATCAGTGGACTCATGCTCGACTCCAGCGCTGGTGACGGGACCGCTAAGAACACGGACGGCTTCGACCTCAGCCGAAACGACGGCGTCACCATCACCGGCAACAAGATCTACAACCAGGACGACTGTCTCGCCATGCAGTCCAGCACCAACACCGTCTTCAGTAACAACTACTGCAGCGGCGGCCACGGCATTTCGATCGGCTCGCTGGGCGGAGACTCCGTCACGTCATCTGACACTGTCTCGGGTCTCACGGTGACTGGCAACAGTATCATCAACAGCGTTAATGGTATCCGCATCAAGACGATCATCGGTCTCAAGGGTCTCGTCTCCAACGTCAAGTACACTAACAACAAACTGTCGAACGTCAAGAACGCCATCGTGATCCACTCAGACTACAGCAAGTCCAAGGGAGGCTACACAGGTTCGGCCACTAGCGAGGTGGCCATCCAGGGCGTGACAATCTCGGGTCTGTCGGGTACGGCCACCAACCTGTACGACGTCGTGGCCAACGCGAATGTGGTGTCGGACTGGACGTTCTCGGGCGTCACGGTGAGTGCGTCGTCGAAGGGCTCGTGCAGCGGCCAACCGAGCTCCATCACATGCTAAAGGACGCTGCAAACTACTGTACTGTGCCAGTGGTGTTACTTGTGTGTGTTAGATCCATGTGATATGGACCATTTTCATGTCAACCAAGATAAATTTGATGTACATGTGCATGCTTTGTCCGAGGATGCTTTGTCTATTGTCCTGGGTTGTATCCAAATAATATCTCAGCTCCAAAAAGAATTGGTTGTTTTCTTTACTACTGTAATGGAGGGTACAGTATTCACCGCAAATACAGTAACAAAGACAAGGTAGGTCATGTAGCCTTCAAACGCACACTCTTCTTGTTTTTGTCATGCATCCATTTGTAGGTGCTATTCGAATCCTAGTTTTTCGAAGGTGGTAACTGAAGGAGCCACCACCATTACGCGATTGTGCTCACAAGCCGGAGCCTTGTGTGAGAGCTGGAGGCAAGTATTATAGAAGTCTTCTGTTGCTGCTAAATTATTGCCTTTAACAACCACCGATCACGGCCAAAATGTATTTAAAAAAAGAAAGCTATGATAATTGTCATCGCCATCACGCGGTTCGTCCGTGAGCATGTACTGTTCGCGTGGAGCAATGCGACGACAATTGAGTTTGAGACGATCCGAGGTTCAATCATCAGTCACAATAGCACTCCTGTTCATCCTTCGGGGTGCCTTCGGCCCACCAATTTGGAGCGATTTGCTGTCCGCCATGTGGAAAGCAGGCAAATGGCGTTGGTGTCGAGCGCCCGAAGGTTCATCCTACTCGACCACCGCAGCACAAGGGTGTCTGCTTAGGATCCATGGGGAACCACAGCTTGCCTCTCGGTATCCGTGTCCGTTCTCAGACAGAGGATGATGAAGCTGGTAAGGCTTCCCGCTCTAGGAGCTGCGAGAAACTCTGCGCGAATTTGAATCTTTTGCAGCTACCGATTGCAGCGAAGAAACTCCAAGCTCGGAGAAGTTGGTCACAAATCTGCAAAACAGTCAACTACATTCTTTTCGAAAAGTAAAGTACTTGACGCTGAAGCAGATCACCAGTCCTCAACTCAAGACTTGGATCGATTAGTTACCTGCTAAGAATCCTCACGCAGATACGGTACTTGTCAATACTAAGCGTTACATGTACTATGAAGGACGACTCTGGCATTGGAGGAAATAGAAAAACCAAAAATAGATTTAGCTACTGAATGAAATTTCGCTTAGATTTCGGAGCAGGCGGCTTTTCTCCGCAGTGAAGGCACTACAAGCGACGCACCCGATTGCTCTTCAGCATCCATTCCAGTATAATTAAGAGATTCCCCGTGCTTGGCACGGCACTAGTCTGAGTCGATGTCACTGACCACAGTATATCCGGTCGCAGAAGCCCCAAGATTCGTGGCGACCCCAGCAACACAGTTAATAATGGAGAACACCGCTGCACTTATCACAGTGAGCAATTGGGCGCTCAAAGATGTCGATGGGTCCGAAGAGATGT